GTGGATACATTAATTTTAATTCGCATGTTCCTCTCAATATAAAAATTTCTACCATTCTAAATCTTGTAGATCACGCTATTTATTATCTGATCCTCTGTTTTATGATACAAACATAAAATTAGTTAAAACGATCCTACTTGGCAATAATTTTCCATATAAGTTAATTTGTCCAATTATTAAAATAGAGTCGCAAAATTACTTGAATCTTTTGATAAGAAACCGGAAGAGCCTGGCAAAACAAGTGTTCCTGAAAAAACTTTTTTCATTAATTTTCCATATCTTGACAATAATTTTAACCAATTATCAAAAAGACTTTTCAAAAAACACAATATTCGTATTACTTTTTCTTCATTAAAACAATTAAAAATTTTATATTCCAAAATTAAAGATGAAACTCCATTAAAAAAAAAAAAAGATATAGTTTATAAAGTAAATTGTTTGGATTGTAATTGCTCTTATATTGGCCAGACCTGCCAGAACTTAGAAAAGAGACTCAGGCAACATGAATTACAATGTGAAAAAATAGATAACAAAAAATTTAAAAGTACACTTGTGGATCATGCTAATATCAACAACCATAAGTTTGATTTTGACAATCCCCAATTTTATTCCATGAGAAAGACTTATTTAAACGGAGCATGGCAGAATCAATGTTAATAGTTCGGACTAACAATAGCATAAATCTAAGAACCGACACAAATATTTTACATGACACATATATAAACATCATTAATAATTTATAAATTTTTTCATTTATCTTATTCTTTTCAATAAATTAATTTGTTTTTTCATTTTTATCGATTTTTGTATGCGATAGCACTCCTTTTTTTTACATTATATGATACCCATTCTGTCTCCATCTAGATAAGTACTTCAAATTTGTTTAGAATATTTCTGTAAGTGTTATATGTTTCTTTAGTACTGTGTCAAGCATTGCAAGGAATAGTTGGTGTTTTTTGTATACCAAAAATTAAATGAAATTTAAATAAATTATTAAAGAATGTGTAGTATATAAGTAACTGTTTTTGAAATTACACTGAAGATGAGACACACCATGGTCTCGAAACGTCTGTAATCATAAAATAAAGTTGTGTTAAACAAATCTGAGTGCTGTTTTGTTCATATTAAACAATTAATATTCGTTCCACTCATATCATAAAATTCTATATATATATATATATATATATATATATATATAAACCTCGTGTCACGATGTTGGTTCGCAATGGACGCCAAAAACTACTGAACCGATTTTAAATTTTATTGGCTCATCCTGTGCATGTATATCCAACTTAGGTTATAGGAAATTCTGAAAAGTAAATTTAAAATATAAATTTATATTTTTTATAAATTTCTAAAAATTTTGACAGAAAATGACTAAAAAAAAAACAACACTAAAATGACAAATGTCAAAATTTATGGAAAATTCGAGAAAAAAAGATTTGATTTTTGAAAAAATATATTTGACAGTTAAAAAAATATAATTCAAAAACATACATACAGTAGGTCCTCGCTTTACACGGCACTCTAGGTACACGGTTCCCATACTACATGGAGCTAAAAATCCGACATCCCTCCGACTACACGGACTTCCTATTACACGGTTTTTGTTCAACAGCGCATAAATTCCTTGCGCAACCTATGAGTGATTATAGGAACTTGATATCAAAAGGGTGTTAATGTAAGTTTTGTTATCGGCTTCTATCTTTTAGACATGTTTGATTATATAATATAATAGCCATAGATAAGTAAACATAAATAGATCGCTATCTGAGGCCATTTGACATTACCGCCATTTTAATATTTTTAGCGATTTAAAGGAGGCAGCACTTGTTCAGTATATAAATCAACCGCTGGTATTATTCCTAGATATGGTTCGCATACGTAATTCAAAACAAGAAAACCTAAATAATTTCTTATATTGGAAATGAGAAAAAAAATATACGAAGTACAAAATATATTTTCAAATATATCACAAACATTTTTACATAACAATTAAAATTTTTATAAATGTAATAATCAATATATACACAATAATAAGTATTATAATTTTACAATTATAAGTAACTAAAAAAAGTATTCACAATGGTATGATAAATTTACAAGGAATGATCAATATGAATTACTTAATGATCAATAATATATAGCAACTAAAACACAGAGATTGTGTAGAAGCATTTACAATAAAATGTTAAACTTATAAGGAACGATCAATATGAAATACTTAATGATCAATAAGTAATTGTGTAGAAGCATTTACAATAAAATGTTAAACTTATAAGGAACGATCAATATGGATTACTTAATGATCAATAATATATAGCAACTACTACACAGAGATTGTGTAGAAGCATTTACAATAAAATGTTAAAGTTATAAGGAACGATCAATATGAATTACTTAATGATCAATAATATATAGCAACTACTACACAGAGATTGTGTAGAAGCATTTACAATAAAATGTTAAAGTTATAAGGAACGATCAATATGAATTACTTAATGATCAATAATATATAGCAACTACTACACAGAGATTGTGTAGAAGCATTTACAATAAAATGTTAAACTTATAAGGAACGATCAATATGAATTACTTAATGATCAATAATATATAGCAACTACTACACAGAGATTGTGTAGAAGCATTTACAATAAAATGTTAAACTTATAAGGAACGATCAATATGAATTACTTAATGATCAATAATATATAGCAACTACTAAACAGAGATTGTGTAGAAGCATTTACAATAAAATGTTAAACTTATAAGGAACGATCAATATGGATTACTTAATGATCAATAATATATAGCAACTACTACACAGAGATTGTGTAGAAGCATTTACAATAAAATGTTAAACTTATAAGGAACGATCAATATGAATTACTTATTGATCAATAAGTAATTGTGTAGAAGCATTTACAATAAAATGTTAAAGTTATAAGGAACGATCAATATGGATTACTTAATGATCAATAATATATAGCAACTACTACACAGAGATTGTGTAGAAGCATTTACAATAAAATGTTAAACTTATAAGGAACGATCAATATGAATTACTTAATGATCAATAAGTAATTGTGTAGAAGTATTTACAATAAAATGTTAAACTTATAAGGAACGATCAATATGGATTACTTAATGCTCGTATATAGCAACTACTACACAGATATTGTGTAGAAGCATTTACAATAAAATGTTAAACTTATAAGGAACGATCAATATGAATTACTTAATGATCAATAAGTAATTGTGTAGAAGCATTTACAATAAAATGTTAAACTTATAAGGAACGATCAATATGGATTACTTAATGATCAATAATATATAGCAACTACTACACAGAGATTGTGTAGAAGCATTTAC